AGCCTCATTCTGTACTGCTTCAGGATGGCGAACATGGCTGAGAGATTTGGAATGTGCAGGTCAGCGGTGCGACTCTTGACTAGCATGTCATCGACTTAAACCTCCATAGTGTTGCTAATTAGTGGGGCAAAGAGGCTGTTCACAAGGCGCTGATAAGTGGCTCCAGCATTTTTGAGGCTGAAGGGCATTACCTTGTAACAATAGAGGCCATGATCCGTAATGAAGGAGGTGTGGGCTTGGTCATCAGGTTGCATGAAGATCTGGTTGTACCCAGAATAGGCATCAATGAAGCTAAGAAGGGCTTGGCCTACTGTGGCGTCCACGAGTTGGTCGATTCTAGGTAGAGGGAAGCTATCCTTCGGACAAGCCCGATTGAGGTTGGTGTAGTCCACACACATGCGCCAGCCTTTCTTCGGTGTGCGGACCATCACTACATTAGCTAGCCAAGTGGGATAGTCCACCTCCTTGATGAATCCTATGCTGCTCAGCTTGTCCACCTTCGCCTTCATGGCTTCGTACCTCTCAGGGTCATAGGCACGACGCTTCTGCCGAACGGGTCGGACGACAGGATTAATGCTGAGCTGATGAGAAATGACATCAGGCGATATCCCAGGCATGTTGTTGTAGGACCAGGCGAAGACCTCGGAGTTAAGGCGAAGGAAGGCGACGAGGTCAGAGCGAAGCTCCTGTGAGAGGGAGGTACCGATTCGGACTTGCCGATCCGGGATGTCATCATGGAGGCTAACAAGTTCGAGGTCTTCCACAGGTTCGGCCTATTGGGTGACGGATTCCTCCCTAGGGTCCCCAAGTCGCTCGGCCCCAGCTCGGGAAGGGGCTGGGGCCTTGGTTACTATAAGGGCCTCACCCTTGAGTTGGCAGTTGGTTGATTTGACTGCTGAAGCATAGCAGCTTCGGGCGCCTAGTTGATCACTGCGAACCGTGCCTGTGCCATGGGTGGTGGGGAACTTCAATAGCAGCATGTGCGAGGATGACATTGTAGGCTGTGGGACAGTCAACGATAAGGAAGGGAGTTGTGATTGTTGTTCGCTGGGGTGCTGAACCAATAGAGATAGGGAGGTGGATGCTTCCAATAGGCTGGACAGCATCGCCAGAGAAGCTCACAAGGAGTGTGATGCTTCGGTCCAGCAAGTGAGTAGGGGACTGGAGTTCGTTGAAAGCATCAGCAAACATCACACTGACCAAGCTGCCAGTGTCCACCAGGATATGCCCAACGTCGAAGTTAGAGATGTCCGCACGGATAATGAGTGGGTTGTCATGAGGGAGAATGACACCACGCTCCTCTTCCTCGTTGAAGGTAATGGGGGCCCAGACTGACCTTTACGTCTTCGGCAGGCATCCTTGCTCAGTGCTGAAGACCTGGTGCATGTAGGAAGAGTGAACATAATGTTTGATGGGGTTGTTGGAGGTTCTGGCTAATGTAGGACCACCATTGATGGTGGAGATCATGTTGATCTGCCGTTGGTGAGGGTTAGGTGGGGGTGGGAGATTGTGCACATTTTTATCCAGTTTCCCCTCACAGATGAGTCCTTCAATGATGTTGCGCAAGGTAACACAAGATTCAGTGTCATGGCCACTGAACTGATGGAAACGGCAGAAGACGCCTGTGTGTGGCATAGGCCTGTTGGTCGGTCTCCAGGGGGGAGGCTTGGGTATGATAGGTGCCTCATGCACTAGGACATTCTCATAGGTGGTGTTCAGGGTGGTGAACACTTCGAACCTAGGCTTGGGCGCGAAAAGGAGTGGAGCACGATCAGCTGTCCTTGGAGGGTTACTTCCGCCGGACTGGTGATGGTTGCCATGGTTGCCGTGTCGGCCACGCTTCCCATTGCTGAAGGTGTGCTGGTAGCCATCCTTCCTCTTAGGGTGCTGGGTACCCTGATTGTTAGGAATGGGAGCTGAATGGTGAGGTTTGGATGGGGTGGGTGCCAAAGCGGATGGGGGATCGCTGAAGGTGCTCTTTGGCTGGTTGGCTAGGCCACATTTGGTGTTAAAGTACTCGGCCTTGGCGTGAATGGTTGCCTGCTTCACCAGCTTCGCATATGTGTTCCATGGGTTGTTGTGGACTAGGTAGCGGAAGTTGGATTCTCGAAGGCCACTTTTGAAAGCGCTGAAGGCAGCTCAATCATTTGTGTCTGGGCAACGAGAGTACTCGTAGCTGAAGCGGGCGACATATTCCCGAAGGGGTTCGTCCTCACCCTGCCGAAGCATGTAGAGGTCATCCGCGGAGTACAAGCGATCAGTCTGGATCATGAAATGGTCGAGGAAGGTTTGCTTCAAGCTATCAAAGGAGTTGATAGTCTGGGGGTTCAACCGGTAGAACCAATTCAGGGCAGCACCACTGAGGGTAGAAGGGAAAAAGAGACACATTCCTTCATCACTAAGACCCTTGCAACCCAGGGCTAACTGGAAGGAATGGATGTGGGTCAGGGGATTCTCCGTGCCTGTGTAAAAGGCAATACAAAGTGGTTGAATGTCCTTCTCCTGATGATAGTTGAGGATACGTGCAGTGAAAGGGCCAGGTTGTGGCTTCGCCCAGAGGGTATCATGGCTGCGGTGTTGCTCATTCTCAAGGCGTCAGACTTTCTCGAAGAGGAGGCGCATGGTCGGGTCGGCATGTGGGAGAGCATCGGGTGCCGAAGGCTTGTGGTGTGAGGTGGGTTTGGGTGGGTAATCTTTCCACTTCTCGAAGTCTTCGAAATTGTATGGCTCCCAATCTTCGGGGTTGTAAGGTTCCCAATCATCTGAGTCCCCAACTTCTTCCTGGGTAGGCACGCAGGTTGGCTTCGGCAGGGGGCCGAGGTGTGCCACTCGCGGGTCACTAAGGTCGACGTTAATAGGGATAGGCTTTTGCCGCATCTCTAAGATACGATCCCGGCAATCTTTGTAGATTTTGGTTGGAACATGGGGCCGATCCTTTGGTGGGGAGACGTGGAAGAGCCATGACTTGGTTGTCCCTGGGTGAAAATGGCCTTTGCCGTTGTCAGGCCTAGATTGAATGGGGGCGCTATGACGGGAGATGATAGGTTGGTTCAGCTGGGTGTGCTCAACATCCTGAGTGAGGTCTTGCTGAACCAACTGGTGACGAGTGTTCTCCCAGTTACGCTTCAGCTCGACATTCTTGGTACATAGGTGTTCGTAGTTCTCCGACATCTTGGCGACACTGGCACGGAGGCGCTCCACCTCTGCCAAAGGTTTCTTTCGGGAGGAATCCCCACGGGGGGTGTGGCGCTGGGTATCATGGCTGGCCTCGCTCGGCATAGCAGAATGTGGGGTGAAGAAGAGGCGACGAGGCTTGATAGGGGAAGGAGCCAGCGAAGCTGGTAGAGGGAGTTGGGATTCAAAAGTCGATTCCTACAAACGGCGCCGAATAGTTGATGCTCTTTTTGGGAGGTCAACTTAGATAGAGAGATTTTAGGTCTTCAGCAGGGAAGAAGGTGTGGACCTTCGGTAACTGTGTAACCTGCAGAAGACAAAGTGGAAGAAGGAGTCGTTGAGCTTTGGACATCGGTGTGGTGCCTGCCGAAGGCTCTCCGATGCTTAAGTCAGCTATAAGTGGTAATTTTGGCAGAGTAACAGTAAATGTGAGAAAATAATTACCCCTTTCGTCTTGGGTACTGTTCCCTATTTATAGGGAGGTGAAAATGGAAGGCTTGCACAAAGTTTCGATGTGGGACTTTGTGCAAGTTGTTGTGGTGGTGACACGTGTCCCTGGGGGCTAGGTTCGGCAGTCGGGAGCTTCGGTAGGTGTTGGTTGCCTTGGAAGAGTATCTTCCCTTGGCATGGAAGAAGGAGTGTCTTCCTTCGGCAGGGAAGAAGGCATGTATGCCTTGGTGCTTGATATGCTCGGTTGATTATGGTGTAAACACTTCTCTTTCTGGCTATCGTCTATTCTGCAGGGATTTGCATGATCTCCTTTGTCACAGACCCCAATGATGGTATGTTCTTGCATGATCTCCTCTTTTATGTTAATTGAAAAATGAAGATTCTGCACATATATGCCTAAAAGCTCTTTTAAGGGTAGTTTGATTGATTTATAAGCGTGTCGATTCAGCTGCTGTGCTCCTATCCTTGAAGAATTCGTGGCAAAATACGCCACCCAGTTGGGACAAGTCAAATGATCCCTGTGATTCCCGGTGGGAGGGAGTCACCTGCAACAATTCAAGGGTGTCTGGACTGTGAGTGTTGCTGTTGATCTGTCTTTGTAGTTAAAGGGCAATGATATCACTTTCTTCCCTTACTATAAATTTTTTCTTTTATGTGCAGGGGATTATCAAACACGAGCCTCAACGGGAAACTTTATGGTGACATTGGTGGACTCACTGAATTAAGATTCTTGTGAGTATGATTTGTCCTCTTTTTACCAGCATTGTATTTGCAGAATACTGCCAATTTGAAGTGAGTTTTAAAATATGTAAAGCATACACTTGAAACATATTTCTTTTGCAGTGTCAGTTATTTTGATATCTCTTAATGTTTGATTATTGAAGCTGAAACACTCACACTGTGCAGGAACCTTTCATTCAACCCTGGCCTCACAGGTCCTCTCTCTCCAAGATTAGGGAATCTGACAAATTTAAATATCCTGTAAGAACAAATGAGCAAGCAATTTTCATATTTCCAATTTGAGCACTGTATATGCAAATGCAACATACATTTTTTATTTTTTATATATATTGAATGAGAATTCATGACACTTTTCATCTTTTAGGATCCTAGCTGGTTGCAGCTTCAATGGTGAAATTCCAGATGAATTAGGCAATCTTGCAGAGCTATCCTTCTTGTAAGAAAATATTCGTAATCATGCTTTTAGTGCATCAAGTCAATATGAGTTTTTTATTTTCCCAACTTTATGTAAATCTCTGGTCCTTCTTAGGGCTCTGAATTCAAATAACTTTTCTGGTGCCATACGTCCTTCTTTGGGCAAACTCTCCAAACTCTACTGGCTGGACCTGGCAGACAATCAGTTGACTGGAACAATTCCAATTTCGACCTACCATTCCCCTGGCTTAGACCTCCTGTTGAAGGCTAAACACTTGTGAGCAATTATCCATATCCCAACTCTTCCCCATTGTGAAAAAGTAAAATTTTGATAGGGATTATTCCACTGTATATTGCATAAGCACTAAAATGATTTTATGAACATGCAGCCATTTGAACAAGAACCAGCTTTCAGGTTTCACACCGGCCAAACTTTTCAGCTCTAAGATGGCACTGATACACTTGTAAGTTGATCCCATCAACTAGTTTATGTTCTCTATTTTTATTTCGTCTAACTGATATTCGTTCTTCGCTTGCAGGTTGCTTGACAGAAATAGGTTTACTGGTACTATTCCAGTAACATTAGGACTTATTAAGACTCTTGAGGTCTGTAAGTAAAACCAAATCTTGAATTTCTTTGTTTTATTTTCCACTTCTAAGTATATGCTTCTTGACAACAATTGGACTCAAGACAATCCTGTTTGCAACAGTCGGCTTGATACAAACGCTCTGGCTGGAAGTGTCCCCTCAAATCTTAACTACCTTACGAATGTCAACAAATTGTGAGTATCAATTTTGCAGACTCTACTGTTCTATTTAACCATCATCTTGTTGGTTGTTAATCTGATTTTTCATGGTTTATATATTCTCTTCCAGAAATTTCGCTCACAACTACTTGTCAGGCCCTCTACCTGACTTAAGTGGAATGAATTCCCTCAATTATGTGTGAGTAGAAGACATGGAGCTATCATTTCTAGTTCCAATATTCCTGCAAATTGTTTGTTTTTCTGTTGTACTGACAAATCCTAATGTTTTACTCTCAGAGACCTTAGCAACAACTCATTTGACCCATCAGAAGCTCCACTTTGGTTCACAACCTTACCCTCACTCACCACTTTGTAAGTTCTCAGGAGGTTGTATAAAAGTCTTTGTATCTCTTCACAAGTCTAAGAAAAGTAAACTTTGAAAACTTTATTTGAAATCCTTTGTTGAACTTCTCTCCTTTTATGGCACACAGAGCCATAGAATTTGGATCACTTCAAGGGGTTGTGCCAGAGAAGCTTTTCAGCCGTCCAAATTTACAGCTAGTGTAAGTTCCAGGGAGAACACTCAAGAATACATGCATCAAAGTTTTCACTGTAAATTTATGAAACTGATCATGTTTTTTAACTCTTGACAGGAAGCTCAAATACAATGCGTTTAACGATATGTTGAACATGAGCGATAGCATCAACCCACAACTGCAGCTTGTTGATCTGCAGAACAATCAGATTTCGAGAATAAGTCTGGGTTATGAATACAAAAATACATTAATGTGAGACAGTTGATGGGCCTTGATCTTGATTTCCTATGATAATTGTGTATTTTCCCCTCATCATCACTCTTGGTTGTCACTTTTACAAGTTGCAGACTTTTCGGGAACCCGGTCTGCAGCAGTAGTTCTGGTGCATCAAATGCTACTTTCTGTCAGCCTCCTCATCAAACTACAAAATCTTAAATGGTCAAGATGAGAGCTTTTGGCCAACTTGTGGAAAATGGTGCAAAAATGGGGATGCCTGTGTAGCTTCATCTAAGTTCTTCCAATCCAAGTCAAGTCAATATTGTAAAAATGGAGAATCATTTTCTCTCCTTGATATCCCATTTGTTCTTTCTTTACATGTGATCAAATTTTATTTGGTGAAGCTTCTTCTATCAAACAAGCTAATGTCATGAATTCGTGCTTTGAAAAGTTCCGCATGCAAACGCCTCAGACCTAACTTTTAAAAAGCCAAGATTTTTTGCTCCCATTAGGCCATAGAGCCTTGGCCCCTATAATTAATTGAGATTGTGAGGTTTTGATCATTTGACAAAAAATCTTCCCCTTCACCAGTGTATGTTGTTTATTTTGACCCATTCTCTCTGCTAGTCTCTGTCTTTCGTCTTCAACGCCATGAATGAAGAGCGTGAAGCCTCAACAAACGAAACCAACCCACATGAAAATATGTCCTGTCGTACATGCGCATTGTACAGTCATAAAAATATGACAACTCTAAATCCCCATCAACTGTCACATTAAATTTTTAATATATATATTTTTAAATAAGTCATCTTCGGCCTTTCATGTTGTATGGATATTATCTTCAACTGGGCTGAATTAATGTGTAAAATTTTATCTGAAAATGACTCGATACAACTTAAGGAGATACCCAATTGAATTGTTTCATAGGATTCATAACATTCTATTAGCTTTGGGATTGCCCTCTCAAAGGTAATTTGGTCAAACTCACTATTGAAGGCAGTAGGAAAGGAAGGATACTGAATTCAGCAATTGGAATTGGAGAAGCTGTAAGATATCATAATTATTGTTCATGGTTGGTTTTGCTACTATAATTTTAGGTGTGCACAAAAAATATTCTTATCTTTTGTAGAATAAACTTGGTTGTATTTAGAAGCAGTCGTACCATAGAATTAGATTTTTGTTTTGTGAAAACAATCATCATGTGGATCTCATCTTAAATTAAATGCTTGAATACCCAGTAAATGCTTGAATACCAAGTAAAGCAAAGGAAAAGACCCTAGTGAGGCAAAATATTGAGTTACAAAGGTCTTGTCTTTATCCATTTCTTACGAATGAAAACCTTTTCATCCATTCAACATGACAAGTGGATCAAACCATGAATTCGTCCTGGCCACGCCCGAGAGCCTTGATTTTCATGTCAGCTTCTGGGACCCCTTTTTCTGTTCTCTCTCTCTCTCACTCTGTGCCTGCACGTATTTTTTGAAGACAGTTGAAAAAACCCAACTCACCAAATCAAGCTCTCAAAGCAAAACGTTCTGAATTGGTGGGAACATGTACATGCGCATGTGCATACATGCATGCACATGCTGTCAAGGACTCATTAAATAAAAATCTTCAAGTGGTGTAGTTGGCAAAGTGGAAGGAATTGAATTGAAGGGTGTGTCTGTGTGGAGGGAAGTCTTTGCAAAGTGCTTTTTTGACCATCTGGGGTAAATAGAAATGTGCTTTTTTGGACCTCTGCTTACTAGCTGATCAGCCTCACAGAGTACACCAGTTTTCTTGATTTGCTTGCTCCTTCACCACCATGGCAACCATGCGGTTGCTGCTCTTTCTGGCTTTCTGCTCTGCTGGGATTCATGTGATCTTTTCTGAAACAGACCCCAATGATGGTATGGTCTCAATTATCAATGTTTATTTGTCCATTTATTGATTTCCTAGTTAATGGGAAATTGGGGTTTTGGTAGTTTGAGCTTTGGCCTAGATATGCGTTGACTTAGGAAAGACTTTGCAATATCATGTTGATCCTCCTGTTTCTCATGTTTTTGCATGCAAACTTGGTAATTAGTCCATTTAGTTTGTGTTTAATGCAAGTTTTTCTTAATGTTTTGGCTAAATTTTGATTGTAAGTTGAACATCCTGCACATATGTGTGTACAAACTTTGTGTTAAGGTAGTAGATTGATTTGTAAGTCTGTTGGTCCAGCTGTTATTTTCATATCCTTGAAGGAGGCATGGAAGAATCTTCCACCCAGCTGGAACGACAAGTCAAATGATCCCTGTCGAATGAAATGGGAAGGAGTCACCTGCAACAATTCGAGGGTGACTGAATTGTGAGCATTGTTCATCTTTGAATTTTCATGCGATCCTTGTAGTTCTGGGCATTGGTGACTTACTTTCTTACACAAATTTTCAACCTTGCACTTTTTATGTGCAGGAGATTATCAGCAATGAACTTGGAAGGACAAATTGAAGGCGATATCGGGATACTCTCTGAATTAAGATCCTTGTGAGTATAATTGCTCCTCTTTGTACCAGCATTATGTTTGCAGCACATTATGAATTGAACCGAGATGCAATGCAACAGATTCAGTATGTAAACATATGCATCAAACATATTTCTTTTCCAGTATCAATTATTTTGTTATCACTCAATCTCTGATTAGCATGGCATCCTTTTTGTAACGAAGTAGAAACGTTAACATTGCAGGGACCTTTCATTCAACAAAGGCCTCAGGGGTTCTCTGTCTTCACAATTAGGGGATCTGAGCAAGTTAAATTTCCTGTAAGAACAAATTAGCAAGCAATTTTCATATTTACACCTTTTGAACTTTGTATATGCAATATAAGTTTTTATATTGGATAAGTATACAAGACTCTTTTCATCTTTCAGGATCCTGGCTGGCTGCAGCTTCAGTGGCAATATTCCAGATGAGCTGGGCAATCTTGGAGAGCTAACTTTCTTGTAAGAATTGAATCGATAATCATACTGTTAGTGCAAACCATTTTGAGTTTTTTCTTTCCCAACTTTATATAAATCTTTTGTTCTTTTCAGGGCTCTGAATACGAATAACTTCACTGGTAAAATACCTCCTTCTTTGGGTAAACTCTCCAAACTTTTCTGGTTGGACCTGGCAGGCAATCAGTTGACTGGAACTCTACCAATTTCAACCAACGTTACCTCAGGCTTAGACAAACTATTGAAGGCTGAACACTTGTGAGTATTTTTCCATTTCCCAAACTCTCTCCATTGTGAAAAGATGAAATTCTAATAGGGATTATGCCATTGCTTATTGCATAAACATTAAACTGATAATATGGACATGCAGCCATTTCAACAAGAACCAGCTTTCAGGTACCATTCCACCCGAACATTTCAGCTCTGAGATGAAACTGATACACATGTAAGGTGATCCCATCGATCATTTTTTAATTTAGCCAGATGCCATCTATCAGTTTATGTTCTATACTTTTATTTATCTAACTGCTTGTCATTCTTCAACTGCAGTTTGTTTGATGAAAATCAATTTATTGGGGAGATTCCATCAACCATAGCACACGTTCAGACTCTTGAGGTTCTGTGAGTACAAAAACAGCTCGATTTTGTTATTCTTTCACATACAAGTATCTGCTTCTTGACACCTATTGGATTCAAAACCTTCTTGTTTGCAACAGTCGGCTTGATAGAAATGCTCTGACAGGAAATTTCCCCTCAAATATCAGCAACCTAACAAATGTCAATGAATGAGTATCAAGTCTCTAAGGGCTTGTTTGGTACACCTCCCTAACTTGGACTGGCTTGGATAAAAAATGAGATTTTCTATTTAAACCCCACACTTCTCTTAGTTCACCCCATGTTCTAAGTTCATCCCATCTTTTTATTTAAATTTTCACAATTTCTAAGAAAACCCCACTATCTTCCCAAACTACCCTTAAATGCACCCCAAATTGAAAAAATAAGAAATAAAAGAGATTTTCTATTTAAACCCCACAATTTTCTTTGTTCCCAATAGAAAAAAAACACAAACAAATGGAACCCCAAACCCGAAATTTAATACTTTCTAGAGAAAGAGAACAACTTTACCTCTCTCCAAGAACTGTAACTGGAATTTCAACACTTGGGTATTGTTGAGTTGACAATCAACAAGCCTTTCCATAAACTCCCACGCATATTTAAAGAGGTAGGCTCGTCAATGTTCTACGTCTTTAAAAGAGAAAAGTAATCTGGCAATAGAATGTAGAGGAGTTTGTATTTTTCTAAAACTTAATAGGAAGAGTGGTGGGGTGTGTGGGGTGTCTATATAGATGTACTAGGGTTAATTATTAAGTTGGATGACCTTTTTTGTCTTTTTACACAATAATAAAACTTATAGCTTAATGATTTAAGTATTGGGGTGAACAAAGAGAAGTGCGGGATTTAAATAGAAAATCTCTAAAAAATTAGAGTGCTACTAAATGAACCATAAAATTAACTGAGTACACCCTACTACCAAACTATTTATTGAATGACTAATTTACCCTAATATAAAATGACCAAAAAGGATATATTGAATTGTAAAACAAATATAGTTTTAATAAGTACACCCTACTCACCCATATCCAACCCTAATCAAACGTATTCGTACTACTTGATGTTGACGACAACGAGCATTGGCGGTGGTGCAAAGAGGTATTGTTGAATGTTCGTTCCTTTGCCCCTTCCTTTACCGACCAACAGCCCTCCATTGCTGCCCAACAACTCCATTAGAGATGAAAGTTAAGGAAATTATTAAGAGACCAAATCTGAAAGTGGAAGACCATCTAACTATTCATAACAATCATTGAAGATATTAGTTGGATCTAAAGTTCAAATATAAGAAGGCATTTGGGAATTAGTTTTCATTTGAATCAAGTTTGAAGTAGCTATTAGACCCATATGGCTTGCTGTCGAACCAGTTTGAATAAATTCGTTATTTGAAGACTAAATCAAAACCCCATTGAGATCAGAACATTAAAAAGAAAAAAAAGAAAAAAAAAAAGAAATTTGCAGAACAAAAAAAACCAGATTTGTTCAAATTGACTCCTTTTAATGTGAAGAACAAAAGCTTTAGAAGAAATTAAAATATGACGTGGCAAATGAGATGTGATATAGTTTATTAGGGTGTACCAAGGGTATTTTGTGTAGTTAAATAGGGTGTATTTAGTTAATTTTACATTTTGATTTAAATATTATGGTGTACTTAAATCATAGGGTGTACTCATTTAATTTAGGGTTCATTTAGCATCACTAAAAAATTATCCCATTTGTTGTCATATGGTTCTAGTTTTAAATGAGATTAATAATCTGGGGCCCACCAAAAACACCTTCTTAACTGGGCTTACTGAGATCCGTCTGTGAGGGGGGACAAATAATCCCCTCCTCATCGCTCACGACTTCCTCCCCTCGCCACGCCTTCGTCTTTGCCATTAGTTCCCACCCCACCACACACCTTGTCACAGCCATCAACTCCCACCTAAGCAGAAACCTCGTCACAGCCATGGCCTCCAACCCTCATCCATGTCAGCTGCTCTCTCTCACTCTCTCTCTCTCTCTCTCTCTCTCTCTCTCTCTCTCTCTCTCTCTCTCTCTCTCTCTCTCTCTCTCTCTCTCTCTCTCTCTCTCTCTCTCTCTCTCTCTCTCTCTCTCTCTCTCTCTCTCTCTCTCTCTCTCTCTCTCTCTCTCTCTCTCTCTCTCTCTCTCTCTCTCTCTCTCTCTCTCTCTCTCTCTCTCTCTCTCTCTCTCTCTCTCTCTCTCTCTCTCTCTCTCTCTCTCTCTCTCTCTCTCTCTCTCTCTCTCTCTCTCTCTCTCTCTCTCTCTCTCTCTCTCTCTCTCTCTCTCTCTCTCTCTCTCTCTCTCTCTCTCTCTCTCTCTCTCTCTCTCTCTCTCTCTCTCTCTCTCTCTCTCTCTCTCTCTCTCTCTCTCTCTCTCTCTCTCTCTCTCTCTCTCTCTCTCTCTCTCTCTCTCTCTCTCTCTCTCTCTCTCTCTCTCTCTCTCTCTCTCTCTCTCTCTCTCTCTCTCTCTCTCTCTCTCTCTCTCTCTCTCTCTCTCTCTCTCTCTCTCTCTCTCTCTCTCTCTAAGTCTGCTACAAAACCCAAATGGAGGAAATAAATCAATTAATTCAAATCGCTTTTTCTTTTTATGAAATTGGGGAAGAACCTCATAAAACAATAGCTAACCATCAAGCAATTCATCATCAAAGAACCCACCCAGGCAGAAGCCTCCTCAAAGAAGCAAATTCCCAAATTTAGATTGTGGGGTTTGGGCATGTGGCTATTGAAGAGAGAGGAGGGTGAAGAGAGAAATAGTGAAATAGGAAATTGAGAGAGTATAAAATTTTGAATTAAGAAGCAGAGAGATAAATAGATTGAGAAGAAGAGCTATGTAAGTCCTTAGGAGGTTACACAAAAATGTCTTAGTATCTATGAATGAGTCTTGGAAAAGGACACTGTAGAAAATATATTTCCTTGTATTTGACAGATTACACAAAGTCCCTATTTATGCTAGTACAGGATATCTAATTAAGGTAGGAAATAATATAGACATGAATACAATCCAAATTATAGCAGGAAATCTGATTTACAGCAGGAAAGGCTAATTGCTAGGAGGAGATTGTGAAGTTGACTTCTGTGTAGGCTAGGAAAGGAAAGCTACGTTAACACCCCCCAGCAAACTGGGCGTCACAGGATGCACAAGTTTGGAAGACATATGCTGATGTCATGGTTTGTGAAGGGCTTTGGTGAACAGGTCCGCAGGTTGGTCAACAGAAGGAACAAAGCAAACTTGATGACTTCCAAGAGCAACCTTTTCACGGACAAAGTGATAGTCCAACTCAATGTGACGGGTGCGGGCATGGAAAACTGGATTGGCAGCCATGTACGTGGTGCTGAGATTGTCACAAAAGAGTTGGACTGGGAATCGAAGCCGCACACCCAATTCATGAAGAAGGTAGCATAGCCATGTGGTTTCGGAACAAGCATGAGAGAGGGCACGATATTCCGACTCTGTACTAGATTGCGAGACTGTGGGCTGTTTCTTGGAACACCATGAGATGAGGTTAGTTCCAAGAGTAATCACATATCCAGTGGTCGACCAATGAGAATCAGGGCACCCGGCCCAATCCGCATCAGAGTAGGCCGAGAGGCGAGCGGTGACAGTTTGAGGAGTGAATGTGAGGCCGAGGTCAATAGTGCCTTTGATGTACCGAAGTATCCATTTGGCGGCAACAAGGTGAGAGGTGCGAGGGGCACTCATGAACTGAGCAATAGTGTTGACGGCAAAAGACATGTTAGGGCGAGTAAGTGTGAGATACTGTAAACTGCCAACAAGCTCGCGATACTCAGCTGGGTTGGAGATGAGAGCACCATCAGAGACAGAGAGCAGAACCTTGGCAGCCAATGGAGTAGATGCGGGTTTGGAGTTGAGAAGATTGGCTTTCTGTAAAAGATCATGTGCATATTTGAGTTGATTGATGTGGAGAGTACCATCCTTATGGAGAACCTATAAACCCAAGAAATAGCTGAGCGGACCAAGGTCTTTGATGTCAAAGTGGCCACCTAAAAGAGAGATGAATTGTTGGAGATGAGTGGGATCACTGCCAGTTACCACGATGTCGTCAGCATATAGAAGAAGAAAGATCGTATGGGATGCCTGTTGAAAAATAAATAATGAAGTGTCAGCTTGGCTCCGTGTAAAGCCCATAGAGAGAAGGAAGGTACTGATGCGATGGAACCAAGCACGAGGTGCTTGTTTGAGGCCATAGAATGCTTTGTGGAGCTTGCAAACATAAGAAGGTCGAGCGGGATCAATGAAACTAGGGGGTTGAGCCATGTAGACATCTTCTTGAAGAAACCCATGGAGAAATGCATTTTTGACGTCAAGTTGACGAAGAGACCACCCACGAGAAACCGCAAGACTGAGAACAGTGCGAATGGTGGCAGGCTTGACAATAGGACTGAAGGTTTCAGCATAGTCTATGCTCGGACGTTGATGAAAACCCTTGGCAACTAAACGAGCTTTGTAGCATTCAATGGAGCCATCAGAGTGACGCTTAATCCGGAAAACCCACTTGCACCTAACCAAGTTCTGAGACGGAGAGGAAGGAACCAAAGACCATGTATGATTTTTGAGAAGTGCATTAATCTCTTCAGTCATGGCGTCACGCCATTCAGGATGCTTAGTGGCCTGTGAAAAATAAGTAGGTTCAGTATGCTCAACAACAGTTAATAAGGCACGAGGAATAGGATATTTGATAGTGTCGTCGGTATGAAGCCTGGGCTTTTGAATGCCATCCTGAAGACGGGTGCACATGTGATGAACAGGAGATTGCGGAGCTGCTGGAACCGGGGGGTTCGGAGCTGCAGGAATTGGGGAGTTCGGAGCTGCTGGAACCGGGGGGTTCGTAGCTGCTGGAACCAGGGAGTTCGTAGCTGCTGGAACCGGGGGGTTCGTAGCTGCTGGAACTGGGAGGTCCGGAGCTGCTGGAACAGGGGCAGGTACAAGCGGAGAAAGCTGTATGCGAGGGCGTCGTGAATAAGTTTGGAGCAATGGCTGGGATAAAGCAGAAGAAGTGTCATTGAGGAGACCATGGTTTGTGGCTACAACAGCGGGAAAGGTTCGCACCAGGGAGTTGCTGTGAGGTTGCGAGTCTGGGACAGGAGTGATCGATACGGGCCCAAGTGCGGATGAGGACAGAATTGGGTGGAATTCAATATCCACATAGAATTGGGTGGAATTCAATATCCACATACCCTGAAGAAGATGATACCTGCAAATGCTCAAAGGGAAAATGCATTTCGTTAAATAAAACATGGCGGGACGTGTAAACACGACCCGTAGGGGGATATAAACAACGGTAACCTTTGTGGTGAGAACTGTATCCAAGGAAAACACATTCAAGGGAGCGGTTGGTGAGTTTATTTTCAGTATATGGTCCAAGGTAAGGGAAACAAGAACACCCAAACACGCAGAGATGAGAGTAGGAGGGAGGATGTTGGAAGAGACGATTTTATGGGGTATCCCATTGAAGATTAGGAGTGGGTAAGAGGTTTATGAGATGGACAGCAGTGAGGGCAACTTCGACCCAGAGATTGTGGGGAGTGTGAGAAGTGGTAAGTACGGATCATGGTGGCAATGTGTCTGTGTTTACGTTCAGCTAGGCCATTTTGTTGGGGAGTGTGGGGACATGAGAAACGTTGATGGATGCCTAGTTGACTGCAAAGATCAGAGAAAGCATTATTAACATATTCAGTGCCATTGTCACTTTGAAGGATTTGCACAGTGGTGTGAAATTGATTTTTAACCTTGGCAAGATAGGTTTGAAAGTGAGAAAAGACCTCATTTTTATGGTGCATTGGATAGATCCAGGAGTAACGGGAAAAGTCATTTGTGAACAAGACATAATAGCGATAACTAGTGATAGAAATGACCGGGGACATCCATACATCAGAGTGAATTAAATAAAAGGGAGATGGGGCAAATGTTTTATTACTAATAAAGGATAGTTTGGTGGATTTGCTAAGTGCACAATCCTTACAGAAAGCATGAGAAATTTTAGAGCCTAGAGATGGCGCTAAGTGAGAGAGCATAGGATGGGATGGATGGCCAAGGCGACGATGCCAAGCAGGAGAGTGCAAGGTGGTAAGGGCACGGGGGATAGTGGATGAGTGAGAGGAGAGGGAAAGTCGATAAAGACCATCTTTAGAAGGGCCCTGAAAGAGTAACGAACCAGTACGTAAGTCATAGATTTGATAAAAGTCAGGAGTAAAGACAAAGAAAACTAAATTATCACGAGTAAAACAGGCAACAGAAAGAAGATTAGTACGAAGAGAGGGAAGACAAAAGACATTTTGAAGAGAAAATTTATGAGAACCTAAAGGAAGAGGAAGAGAGCTAGTATGAGAGATAGAGAGAGAATCTCCATTACCAAGAAATACAGAATTATTACCCTGATATGGCTGTTGATTTTGGAGATTAGAAGAGCTACCAGTCATGTGATGAGTGGCACCTGTGTCAAGGTACCAAGTGGAGTCAGGTGGTTGCATGAATTGAGCCCCAACAAAGGGAGGAAAGGATTCTGGGCTATTGTAGCGATGGGGACATGTTGCAGTAGTATGTTGATTGGTATTGCAGGTGGTGCACCAAGCGGGTCCCAAGACACCAGGGGCTGAGTTGGGCCAGGTAAAGTGTTTGCTGGAGGCAGCAGATTGGGCCCAAGGAGGCTGAAAGGAAGGCCAGTTGCTTTGAGATCCAGAACTTGGTGAAAAAGAAGGCCACGGTTGATTAGGCCATTGGGGCTGCTGGGAGCCATTCCACGGGTTGCTCCAGGAAGATGAGAAGTTGCGCCAACCACCACGGCCGCGACCGCACCAGCCACCGCGACCACCGCCAAGAGCCACCACCACGGTGAGAAGGGAAGGAAGTATGACCAGTGGTGTGAGGAGAGGATTGGGTGGCCATTAGCGCTGTGTTTTGATCCGGAGAGATTCGAGGAGCCTGTGCGTCAAAAGCTAATAAACGAGCACGAAGATCAGCAAAGTCAGGAAGCGGAGGAAAATTAAGAATGGCCGTGATGAGCATTTTGTAATTAGGTCCTAAACCCCGAAGCACAGCAGTGACAAGTTCTTTTGGGGAGAAAGGCTCATTGATGGCAACTAGGGAATCGGCAAGGGACTTAGCATGACGAAGGTAAGCATCAATGGGTTGAGAGTCTTTTTGTAAATCCATGAGTTGAAAACGAAGAGCAGATTCACTAGCCATATTGGATTGAGAGAAGTGGCGTTGGAGGCACTCCCAGAGATCCCGGGCAGAGGTGCAACCGACGGTGAGAGAGAGAATGGACTCAGAGAGTGTACTGGTGATGTAGCTAACAATGAGTTGATCTTGTTGGTACCACTGAGTATGGGCGGGATTGGTTTGGGTAAGAGTGGCGGTGGTGGTTGCAAATGAATATGTGGTAGAATGGGAGATTTGGGCAGAAGGTTGTTTATGAGTGCCATCGATAAATTTCCAGAGGTCATGACCGACTAAGAAGGGTTTGAGTTGGCGGAGCCAAAGGAGATAGTTGGAGTCAGTAAGCTTGATAAAATGAGAAGAGTTGGGGCTAGGGAGGGAGATGATGGATTCAGACGAAGCCATGAGGTGGACCTAGAGGAGGATTGGATCGAATAAGGGAGAGGGAGGAAACCCTAGGTTAGGCTGATACCATGTAGAAAATATATTTCCTTGTATTTGACAGATTACACAAAGTCCCTATTTATGCTAGTACAGGATATCTACTTAAGGTAGAAAATAATATAGACATGAATACAATCCAAATTACAGCAGGAAATCTGATTTACAGCAGAAGGCTAATTGCTAGGAGGAGATTGTGAAGTTGACTTCTGTGTAGGCTAGGAAAGGAAAGATGAGTTAACAGACACCCTAAAAACTTTGTTGTAATTTTTTGTTTTTAATTCTCTACTTTTATGGAACACAGCGTTTTAGAATTTGGAGCACTTGAAGGGACTGTGCCAGAGAAGATGTTCAGCATCACATCATTGCAGCAAGTGTAAGTTTAAGGAGAATACTGAAGAAAGCATCAAGTTTTGACTGTAATTTTAGGAAACTTGCCATTCATGTTTTTTTCTAACCCTTGACAGGAAACTGAAAAACAATGCGTTTAACGAAACATTGAACTTGGGTGATAGCATCAGTCCACAACTGCAGCTTGTTGATCTGCGGAACAATCAGATTCCTAAAATAACTCCGGGTTATGAATACAAACATACATTAATGTGAGACAGTTCATGGGCCTTGATCTTGATTTTCTATGGTTGTGTATTTTTCAACACCATTCTTAGTTGTCACATTTACATATTGCAGACTTGTAGGGAACCCAGTTTGCGCCGATGGAACTAGCTCAAAATCATTCTGTCAGCCTCCGCAACAAGATACAGAAACGTATACTACTGGCTCGAAGTGTGCACACATTACATGCCCCGATAATCAGAAGCACAGCCCTCAGAGTTGTCTATGTGCATATCCTTTCGAAGTAACATTGTATTTCAGAGCAACCCCTTTCAGGGATTTGTCAAATGTGACTAGGTTTAACTTACTAGAAATGAGTCTACGGGATCAACTTGGCCTCACTCCTGGTTCAGTTTCTCTTGAAAAGCGTTTCTTCGACAGTAATGACCATCTTCAAATTCAGCTGGCACTCTTTCCACCTACAGGAATATATTTTAATAGGTCGGAGATTATAAGGATTGGTTTTGATTTGAGCATTTTCGAGCCACCGGAGGGGTTTCGACCCTATTATTTTATTCCAGCTCCTTATACTTTCCCAGGTAATTTAAATCACATCGTTACTTCGTATGCCATTTCCCTGCATTAGAAGATTGATTAAACTGACAGTAAAAACTCAAAATTGTTTCAGGTGGGAATAAAAGTTCTATGAACACTGGTGTTATTATTGGGATATCAGTTAGTTGTGTAGTTCTTGTACTGGGCCTCGTGGTAGTGGGAATATATGCCATTAGGCAAAAGAAACGTGCAGAAAGAGCCATTGGATTAAGCCGACCTTTTGGTAATTAATTATTCTTGTTGTTTACGATTGGATACATTGAAATTCTGTCATTGACATTAGAAGTTGGTTTGCTTATATCACTCCTTTTCTCTATCTTCTAGCTTCTTGGGCACCAAGCGGAAAAGATAGTGGTGGTGCACCACAGCTAAAGGGAGCAAGATGGTTTTCTTATGATGAGCTTAAGAAGTGCACAAATAATTTCTCTGACAGTAATGAGATAGGATCTGGCGGATACGGGAAGGTATATTAATTCAAGTATTTCAGTAACATCTATGAAATTCTGCTTCAAGGTAAAGGATTTTTTTTTTTACCTTTTGGTTGGTTGTCCATAGGTTTACAGGGGCATGTTTTCTGATGGACAAGTGGTGGCAATCAAAAGAGCTCAGCAAGGATCAATGCAGGGTGGCCTTGAGTTCAAGACTGAAATCGAGTTGCTCTCGCGAGTTCATCACAAAAATGTTGTTGGCCTTTTGGGATTTTGTTTTGAACAAGGAGAACAGATGCTGGTTTATGAGTTTATGCCTAATGGAACACTCAGGGAAAGCTTGTCAGGTTAGTTCAAAGATTTTACTCTCAGCTATTTCATATTGCATAGAGATAACTTGTTTGCAATAGACATAGTTACCAACTTCACCTTTGCTTAAATATGAATTGCAGGGAGATCTGGTATTCATCTTGATTGGAAGAGGAGACTCCGCATCACTCTTGGCTCGGCAAGAGGACTAGCTTACCTACATGAGCTTGCAAATCCTCCTATAATTCACAGAGATGTCAAGTCCACCAACATTCTATTAGATGAACATTTAACCGCGAAGGTTGCAGATTTTGGCTTGTCCAAGCTGGTAGCTGACAGTGGAAAAGGGTATGTCTCAAGTCAGGTCAAAGGCACACTGGTAAGCTTTACGTTATTAGCATTTCAACATATATTCATCCCATTGACACATTCTTGAGTTTTTACTCTTTAAGTTTCTGTTTTGTTCTTGCAGGGATATCTTGATCCTGAATACTACACGACTCAACAGTTAACTGAGAAGAGTGATGTATACAGCTTTGGAGTGGTGATGCTTGAATTGATAACGGCTAGGCAGCCTATTGAGAAGGGAAAATACATCGTCCGTGAGGTACGATTGATGATGGACAAGAATGATGAAGAACACTATGGTTTGAGGGAGTTAATGGATCGAAGCATTCGAAACCCCGGAACTCTTATTGGGTTTGGGAGGTTCCTGGAGCTGGCCCTGCAATGCGTTGAAGAATCAGCTGCAGACCGCCCCACAATGAGTGAGCTTGTGAAGGCTATTGAAACCATTCTGCAGAATGATGGCATGAACACAAACTCAACATTAGCATCTTCATCAGCCACGGAATTTGCAGCATCAAAAGGAGCTCCTAAGCATCCGTACAACGATGGCTTGCTGAAAAGGGAAGTGAATGACAGCACTGGTGCCTTTGATTACAGTGGTGGATATGCAGTTTCGCCGAAGATTGAACCCAAGTAGTAGCAAAGGCCTGCAACATAGTTAATTTCTTCTTTTGTAAATTGCACCTTCTCTTCTCTATCCATATATGTAATGTAAGTAGATACAGGAAAAGAATATATAGTGGTCTTTCATTTCAATTGCCAAATAGAAATTTAGTGTGTTATGTTACAATGTTCCTAGGGGCCTCAAACTCGAATGCTACGAAGTTTATTTTTATTTTTAATTTTATTTTTCGGATTGGATGCAATGAAGTTTTAGTAAGACCTGAATGATGGCATCAAAATTTTACTACTTTGAGTTTTGTACCATGATCACCTTCAGAATTATGTTGTGTTAGGACTCACTGCTTTACCCAAATTTTACCATATGGATTCTGTTTGTTTAGTTTGTTTAAAGAATATCATATATACAATGAAAATGGTTTTCTCGACTATTCATGCACACATCAACGATTGACAATCCTTTCGAGTTGTCTGAATAAAAGTAGCATTTCCTTTATTAAAACTTTAATTTCCCCAATTGATTGAGTTCAAATACAAGGCCAACTCTACTACTACTAGATCAATATCTTAGGTTGGGTAAATTTTAAAGTAGCAAAAAAATAAATAAATAAAATTGGGCAACTGCTATATCTTCTGTTTTTGTTGGCATTCCGAGATGTGGATAGCATAGTCATCAAAAAGAATTGAACTACCAAACATAAATAGAACCAAAAAAAAGATTAAAAGATAAGAAAATAAAAACGAAAAAGGCATATACAAATTACAATGATCACGTTACTAGAAAAATAATTCTTAATTTGGGTTTTTTTTTTGCTTTTTAAAGGAAGAGTCCAGTCACGGGTGATACTGTGAGAATTGGATCTGACCCCAAAGAATTATAACAAACACAAGGCGTTAACCGAAGGTAAAGATTTAACTCCAAAAGTAAAAAACCAAAAACAACAAAAGAAAGGAAAAAAAAAGTTTAGTGTACGGTAAGCTCTTTCTCTTCTTCTTCACCCCTTTCGCAGAGAGAAAATCAGAGTTTGTGTCAAAGAAGGAAATCCAATCTGTGCCGTACTGTCCATCCTCCAGGCTTGACATTGATTGAATCGCAGTGGGAGACAGAGATACTGTTAGCTCATAAACAACCCATAAAGCCATTAGAATGATTCATGCCACAGAAGAAGAAAAGCGCTTTACTTGTTGATGCGGCTGCGAGTGAGGCTTCGCATTTGATAACAATAAGAACCCAACAGCAAGAAGAAGCGCAAGAGGAAGAGGACGAAGAAGGGCTGTTGTTAATTGGTGTTAATTGTTGATAATTGTTGCTTAATCGTGGGATTAGAGGATGGGATTGGTGGGTATGAAATCGGATTAGGAGGAGAGAGAGAGAGAGAGAGATGAAGGGAGGGGGTGGGGGGGGTGTTTATTCGGGGAAGCGAAGATGGAGAGGCCTGGTGATTGCAGTTTTGGGTCTGGTTTTTCTTTCCATGCTCGTTCCTCTTCTCTTCCTTCTCGGTCCTCACAATGGCTTTCACTCTCCCGGTAACTAACACTCACTCACTATATGACTCTAAAATTTCTTTCTTTTTAGATCTGTTTCTGTATTTGTCTCAGATCCGATTTAACCATTGCAATGGCAGTTTGGATCTCTCTCACATCTCGACTTTTTTTTTTCTTCTTCAAAATATGCAGGTTCAGAACAACAAAGTTCGCCTTCAGTAAGAACTAGAACCTGGTTATGTTAGTTTAGCACTGTTTTCTGTTTCCCACATTCTTGGTGTTGATCTGTTTATTTCCGGTTTCGGTTTTTTTTAATGGCTGTCAGATTGGTCTGGGAGGATATAGTACAAAAATCATCATTAGAGATGCTTCTAAACTTTCAGAGGTACCATTTAACTACCCACCTCTTTAAATCAAATTCGCATACAGATAAATTAGTGATGCTTTGGTTTCTTGCAGGGGGATCGTTGCATATTGCTCTCGTGGGTTAAGCCGTCTTTGGACAACGCGTCGAACATCTTGACTGCATTGTTGGTAAGGCCATCGGTGCGCATCTTGTGGAAGACTTCTTGCAGGTCTTTTGGGTCTTCTGGGTCCTCGATGGCGGGCTTCTTGTTGAAAGGGTCGTACGGGGGAGGGAGCTTCGACTTGTCGATCTCTTTGGTGGCGGTTTTCGTCGTCGTTTCGTCATCGTCTTCGTCGTCTGAAGGGAGAGAGAAGTTAACCTTGGTATTGACTTTGGTGCTGGGTTCGGAGGAGCTGAAGAACCTAACACTATTGAAGGTACGAAAAGGAGATAGCGATAATGGGAGAAGCAACCTCCTGTGGTGGTTTTCTGTGAGTGAAGAAGAAGAAGAAGCAAAAGAGATGGTTTTGTTGGAGTGGTTGGCTGCAGCTATGGCTATGAGACGCTTACTGAGAACAAAGGGGAAAGGATTGGACTTGTAGTTAGAGGCGGTAAGAAGAAGGAAGGCCCGAGATACTAACGTCCCTGCCATTGTTCTCTCTTCTTCGAGGTATCAGTTTGCGTCTTCCAGGAGTCTGGGCTTTGAGTTTCTAGCTTCTACTTCCAGTTTCCTAAGGTTCCAGTTGAGGTTTAGTGGGTCATGTGGGCCCATTTATGATCCTAATATACTTCAAGGGTATAGCCGCGCGGCTATACTACGTTTTTTTTAATGTAAAAAGGGTCATTATATAATAGGCCCTTGCAACTCTAATAGTCTATACAAAAATTCATCTACATATTTACTTCCAACCAAAACCCAATTTTGAAAACGGATGCCATGAAGGATAAAAGTTGCCCATTTCTTATTACTTATTTACAAAACCCTGCCATTTTTGTTATCCAGTGATTTTTCCTAAACAATCCCTAATATCTAGCCTTTCCATTATTATGGTGTTGCTGGACTCAACAAATCAAAACATTCTCATAATACATATAATATATGTTCGTTCATAAATAATATATAGCCGGACGGCTATACGGTTTTTACACGTGGTGAAGTTATATGAAAATAGTATAGCCAGGCAGCAGTACTATTTTTGACACGTGACAAAGCAGCGTAGGCGCCATGCGGTTTTTTTAAATATAAAATAAATAGTATAGCCGCGCGGCTATACTGTGGTTTTTTATTAATTTTTATTAAAAATAGTATCGCCGCACGGCTGTACTGTTTTAACACGTGGGCACCAAATCACAAGGCTTTAGGCGGGTCCTTTTTGCTTTTTTTAAGAGCACTTCCAGCAGTGAACCCTTTGTCATGGCAAGGGGGGGCTAGGGCAGCTACTATTCATGTGAATAGTAGCTGCCCTTGCAAAAGGTTGTGGTGTTTCCATTAATTACCATGGCAACAACTATTCACATGAGATTAGGGATGGCAACGGGCCGGGTAAGGGCCGGGTATGACAATACCATCCCCGTCCCCGCCCTGCATCCCCGAACCAATCCCCATTTAATAGGTTTCGGGGAATCCCCGTCCCCGTCCCCGTCGGGGGACTATTCCCCATACTCGCCCCGAATCCCCGATTTTTTTTGCATAAAAAATATTTATCATACATTTTAACATTAAGTTTCATATTAAATTATCATTCAACACATTCAAATTAACTATAAAGTTCAACTCAACTATTCAAAATCACATCAATATGAAAATTCAGAGAAGATTAGGAAGAATTAGGAGAGGGAGGTTAACTTAGGGTTAAACATAAATATTATAATTATATATATATATATATATTTATTTAAATATAAACATATATATTTTCGGGTCAGATTCGGGAATGGGGACGCCAATACCATCCCCTCCCCACACCCTTCGGGGATTTTTCAAGTTCTGGGATCCCCATACCCGATACCCATTGGCCCTGAAATCTCCCCCGTTAAGGTCGGGGACCCGCCCCCGCAAGAATTTTTCCCATCCCTAAGAGTGACAGTGTATTGACGATGGCAGGCGACAAGGAGGGAGAAAGTTCCAATATGAAATCACCACGTGTGTCGAGTACGAAGGGGGAGTTGAAGCCGTTCATCATTTT